TTTTTTTTTTTTTTTTTAGAAAACAATTTCTTTAAGGAAAAAACCTAAATATATTACCACCACATTTTTTGAAAGGTAGATGTGCTTAATATTAAAGCAAAATAGTTCAGTAATTCTCAAATGCTTCCTTTCTTCTTAAATCTCAAGCAGTTATCACCACCTTAGTTACTTTTACAAATTTTATAGTGCTGCCGAGATAGCTTAGGGGTCTAAGCCCCTGCCTAAGTAAGCACAAGGACCCAGGTTTGATCCCTGGTACCACATGCCATGCTGGCTCCACCCCTGGAGTGCTGAGTCACCACTGAGGCAGGGTGTGGTGGCACACGCTTGTAATTCCAGCACTGGGGAGGCTGAAATAGGAGGATCACTACTACTTGTTTTCTTATCTCTTCAATTTGACTTGTTTGCCCACTTTACAAGCTCAAGGTCCTGAGTTCGATCCCCTGTGCCCCCCCAAAAAAAATTTTTTTTTCTAAAAATGCCTTGTCTATCTAGAATACCTAAACAGATGAATAATATATATTAAATAATCATTGCATTGTATTCCTGAGTGGAATGAGCCTGTTGCAGTTAAAGAACTTTTACCATATACTGAGCCCGAGCTGTATAGTGAGAGCCTGTACCAAAATATATAAAAATTTTTAAAAATTATATAAACTATTCTTTCATTTGGGCAATTGTAAAACATACAATATACCTTAATCATAAATAGACATTAGATCCATTAAACAAAAATTTTATGACAGTTCAATATATATTAAAAGTTCTTAACCATGATGGACTCATTCCCCTCAAAAATATAATGCAATGATTATTTAATATACATTATACATCTATTTAGGTATTATGCTAGATAAACAAGTCAAATTAAAGAGGTCAAAAAAAGCAAATACCCATAAAGTCAGGAGATAAGTTGTACATCACAAATAAGAATATTATGTCTGTAAAAAATCAGAATGCAAGATACTGTGTTTAGATCATAACCCAGGTTTCTTGACAAAACAGAAATCTGTATCAACAATGAATTTCAGAAAACCTAATTTCCCTTTTTGGTATGATTCTGAGCATTCTCTTAAAACCTCAATATCTCATGTCTTTTTGTTCTACCTGAAATTGTTTCCATTTTTTCACATTATTGTGAAAGAAAACATGGTCTCAAAGCATTTTGGGACCCTAAACCATTTGTCTATAGTGCTAAAAGATACAATTAAAATAGAGAACAACAGAATAGGCATCAATACCTCAGCATTTAAAAGATTTCCTGTCTTAATGAAGAATTAGACTAACATCTTACACATGTCATAGTTTCATCTTTCTTTTTTCTATATATAGGCAATACCCTCTTCTTAAATCATTTTATAAGACTGCATGGAAGTCGACCAGGGATGCAGCTCAGTAGCTGTGATCTTACTGAGCATGTTCAAGGCCCCTGGATTCAATCTCCACTATGACAACAAAGATCGATGGAAGAAAACCAAATAGAAGAAATAAGTGATCATTTTTATTCTTTTTAGTACTTATGGGCCAAGATTTAAGAAGCTCTTTAACAAGATAAAGTAAAAATTTTAAATAACCTAGAAATTAATTTATTCATTCTATCATGACCTCATTCATTGTATTCCTGTTTTCTTGACTATAAAGATTTAATAGTATATGAGCAAGGTCTATATTCTGAGACTACATGCATAGGATGAGTTCAGATTTATCTTACCAATTGTACCAATCTTTATTTTTTGTGCTAATGACTTACTTCTAGTTTCTGACTTTCATTTATTTTTAGTATCTAAATTCACTAGAGAAAAGAATAACATAGTCCACAAAGAAGAATCTTAATAGCAAAATTAGAAACAATTTTAGATTTGCTCTGTCTTATTCCTATGACAATACTAAGGACATTACATGCTGGCCTCATTACCAAAAATTAAATAATTTTCAAAAATTAGAAAAATCAGAAGTGATTTAATAGATTCCTTTGAAAACCACTTCTTTAAAACTGGGTATCAGTGTGCAAACTAACACTTCTCACTTTTAACTTTTTTTATTTATTTTTATTAATACATGTTTACATTACATAATGATTACATTCTTTATGGGGAGTTGGTACAAGTCTATAATACTTTTTTTTAAATTTTTTATTATTTTATTTTAATTTGTGTGTGTGTGTGTGTGTGTGTGTGTGTGTGTGTGTGGCTAGCTCAGCCCACCAGGGGGCAGGGCTGGCTGGCATGTGGTGCTGAGGGATTGAACCTCGGTCTCTTTGTTTTGCTAAGCTTGTTCTAAGTAGGTGCTTTAGACCACTGAGCCATCTCACCAGCCCAAGTCTATAATACATTTTAATTCTTTTTACTTTGTCTTCTTTCCCACTCTGATAGTTTTCTTTCATACAGTACTAAAACCAAGCTAGTAGTTACTTTTTAAAAGTCAACACAAATGGACTCTGAAACCTTATCAATAAATTTTTAAAAAAATCACTGGTCCCCCCTTGTCTTTTGAATGACTCTTTTATGCTATCTGTATGAGTTTTTCAAACATCATGTACTCACTTAGGAAATATTGACTAATTCAAACTTGTAGATCTTTTAAATGTTGGTATTTCCCACTACATGCTATCAATCACATTTATGAATAATCACAAACACTTTTCTTTCATCAGAAAGGTCTTTAAACAATGAGCAGCTACCAAGCTCAAGATTGTCTAAGTTTTCCAAAACCTTAATTTCCATTTTAGTCATGAATTTTATGATTTGCAGTAAATACTGTACTGTTGGTTGTTTCCCCTGAAGTGACAGGTTTACATCTTTCTTTTCCCAGAAAACATCTGCCATAAAGTAAACATGGAATTTTTTTTTTTTTTTTTTTTTTTTTTTTTTTTTACGGGTTGGACTCAGGCCCTTTTTTTTTTTTTTTTTTTTGTGGAACCGGGGATTGAACTCAGACCCTTGCACTTGCCAGGGAAGCACTTATTCCACTGAGCCATCTCCCCAGACCCCCCAATAATTGTAATCTTTCAATTTTATTATAAAAAGATCTTTAATCTGGCAGATCCTGGAGTTCTATGACTCTAGGGTTTCATAGATTATACATTAGAACTCATTGCTTGCAGAGTAGAATGCCAAAGAAAGGTTCAGAAAATCTGGTCATATTTTATAAGATGAAGTAAATGAGGGAAAGGACCAGAAGTCTTAACAAATGAAAGATTAATGTAATGGCCTATGAAGCAATGATTAGAATTTGCACTAAACTGAAATTATAAGAAAAGCACTATGTGAATCAGATTTTGATAAAGCAATCAACAGGACTGGTAATTCTCTAGTTCTTTGTGAAGGAAAAAAAGTATAAAAGAGAAGAGAATAAAACAGAAATTAATACAAATTGATAAATACTCAAAAAGTAGGTTATGTAACTATAATTTAATTTAGTTACTAAGGAAGTCCAACACAGATGTTTTTCAAAAAAGGAAGAAAACCTAAAAGGGAAGCTCATTTAAAGAATTCAATGCAATTCCATTTTTTCCCCAAGTAATTTTTTTTATTTTTATTTTATTTAATTAATTAATTTATTTTTTGGTGGAACTGAGGATTGAACTCAGGCCCTTGCGCTTGCCAGGCAAGCACTTTCCCAAATAATTTTAAAACAACATTTAAAATACCAGGTCAAATCCAAAAACTCAGATTCTGGACCCTTTCAAATGCCAGTATAAATTGAGTGACTACATGCCAAGGAAACAACAGCAGCAGACCTCTCTTGTGTTAAGCTGTAATGGGAGAAAGGTGCACCATGGCCTATCACAGGATGAAGATGAAACAAAATCACATGATAGAACTGGAAGTTTCATTAGGTATGTATATATGCAAATTTTTTTCTTAGAAGGTAAGCGACTTGTAGAAATTGAAAGCAGAAGAAATAATATTAG